GAAACATCTAAAACATGCAGGATTGTGGCCCTCGAGGACCAGGATTGGACACCCCTGTTCTACAGATTAAAAGCTGACTTCATAAATTGTAAAATGCACCTTTGGTAAATGCCATGGCTGAGCAGTTCTCCCTTAAAACAGTAGTGCACTGATGAGAGTCTCAAAAACATGAAATTAAACTTCCAGGATTTCATACATACCCTAGTCCTGTCACCTTGCAGGGTTATCCTCTTTTTGAATTAGTTTCCCTTCAGTTCTCCTTCAGAATCAGCGTTTCTCTTTATTTTCATTAAAATTACTTCTAAAAAATGTCATTTTGACACACGGAGAAGAGTTTTTAAGGGTTTAATCAGTGAGTGAAGATCAACTTTGGAACAATATAGTGAAGTTTGGTAGATGTTGCTGAATAATGTCCTTTACAGAATCAGTCTTCTTCTGTGCTTGCGCTACAATACTACATTTTAGCATTTCCCAACATCCCATAGTTGTTCGTTAAAGTTAGGATTAACTTTAATGCAAAGTTAAATACTTGGAATTTTTTATATAGCAAGGGTTACATCTGTGTTATATGAGTTATTTAAGACTTTATACACTGCATAATAGCAAATGAAAGGCAAACAGGGCTTTAACCTATGAGCATGCCTGGCCAACCCACCGACCACAACCCCTATTCCAAGAAATGCCTTTTCTATTTTGTCCATCTTGCAATACAAAAATCAGCATTTAATCACTTATTAAGCTCTTGCACCCAAATCCCCACTGTGTACCACATCAATACAAATGCCTATTATCCAGAACATAATTTGGTTATCTCTTCTCTGCAGGTCTGGCCGGCTCCTGCCTGCCACGGTTCAGCACAATGCCGTTCCTCTACTGCAACCCTGGAGACATTTGTTACTACGCCAGCAGAAATGACAAGTCGTACTGGTTGTCCACCACTGCTCCTCTCCCCATGATGCCCGTAGAAGAAGGAGATATCAAACCGTACATCAGCCGCTGCTCCGTATGCGAAGCTCCGTCGGTCGCCATCGCAGTTCACAGTCAGGACATCACCATCCCACAGTGTCCGGTGGGCTGGCGCAGCCTGTGGATCGGCTACTCCTTCCTCATGGTGAGCTCTAGTTCTGTGTGAACATTTTAGAAGCCATAGAACGACACAAAGGTGCAGAGTGCAAGACTTGAAGAATCATTATAATTTCATTTTAACTAAAAGGTGATATTCAGGTGAGATTTATAGGCATTATCTAATACTGATTATAGTGTTGTTAATAAAGTCTTTTGTTATATTTTTAAAAAGTTACAAGTGAAACTTTTGAAAGGGGGTTTCTATTATATTTTGTGGCTCTGGAGGATCTTCATGGATCTTCGTGAAGCATTTTGGATTCACTGCCACAGATTTACAAAAGAAAGTCTCCATTACAAACTAAAAGCTGTTTACCAAACATGGATAGCCATTAAAAGTTAGGATATCTCTGCCTCTGTTTAATAAGTTTTGACCTTTTTTCATTCTATCTTTCGTCTCTTACCTTTATGAACGTATTACACACCAACAGCAATTTTACAATTTCCTGCTCACCTCTGTGTTTTTTTTACTTTTTCCTCTTCTGTCATTCTGTGGGTGAATCTTTTCAATTTTTAATCATTTTGGCTACAAATTCTTTCATGACAAAACCCTGGATGCTCTTGAAGAAAATGCCCCCACTTGTTATTTTTGCAAAGCAGCAGTGTATCCTCG